TGGGCATTCTATGGAAACAATGGGCTTAATTTGGGCTGTTAACATCAATGTTGTTTACCCTATTTTTATTTCGATTTTATTTTTATAATGTATTTCTTTTTTTTTATAACTCTTTCATTTTGTCTTGAAAACTTTGCAAGCATTTGTACACCCGAAACTGTACTGTGAAAGGTTTTTAAATCAGTTACTTTGAAAAATTCTGTGAAATAAGAATATTCATTTTGACTATTGACCGATTGTGTTTTTGAACAATATTAGGTGTAGTGCTAGCTTGTCTGGTTTAAGAGTTAAATTTGTGCAGAACACTTTCTATTGGAAATCACAGAATTACAGAAAGAAAGGTTCTTTGACAATATTTGAGCTAAATTGATAGTTTTAATTTTTGTGATTTTATTTTTTATTCTGGGCTCCGAGTTTCTAATCTTTAATGCGTAAGCCTAAATTCTTGGATCATTACATTTACTAAACTTACCGAAGCTTATTCAAATATGAATTTATTTATGAAAAATGGCAAGATATAAATATCTAGAGTCAAATATTTAATTAGGTTAGATATTGTTGGAAATTTATGCAATACTAATGAGGTAAAAAGATATGTTTTTCTCTTTTAGAATAACATTTAAGTCCTTAAAAATGGCGTATGTTCGCTTTCATAAGCAGGGCATTAATACACAAACAAGCAGAAAAGAAAAGAAACCTATATTTTGGTGCCAGCAATTGCGAGAATGATTTTCCGAATGTTTTTCTTGGAACAGCTTCCTTTCGGCCTCCTTTTAATTAAAGAACAACACATCGGGAATTGTAGTTCCCTGTTTCGTCCTGTATATTGTGACATCAAATTCCCGGTTAATTTCTTTATCAAAATTCTTTTTGGAAATGTTCACAGTATTACCCCACCCCTGTAATGTTCTGCATATTCCATATATATATATGTCTATTTTCTCACAATGAGTTTATTTTTATTTCAAAACGCTAGCTTTCAAGCGATAATCGCTCTTCAACGGGCTTAATAAAACATCGACTATATCCTACAAGAAATATTTACACGCTGCGCGCGTATGTTTTTGTAAATATTTATTGTAGGATATAATCGATTAAACCCGTTGAAGAGCGATTATCACTTGAAAGCTAGCGTTTTGAAATAAAAAGAAACTCATTGTGAGAAAATATTTTGTAATTTAAAAACTTTTTTTCACAATTTCATCATGAATAGAGATATGGGGGGAGAAGTCCGACCACACCTCCCTGCGGTCCCCCCTGGACCCTTGGAATATTCGACCAAATTCTGGTTCGTTTCCAAGGTGACTAACGTGGCAACGGCACCCATTTTCCAATGAAAAGCCCCAAGATAGTGGATATTGCTGTTGCTGTGATGGAGATGCATGGAAACATCTGAGACTCTTCTTTGGACACGACAACAACAATAGAGATATATGTCTATGCAAATTTCTTTAGGATATTTGAATAGTCGTTCTTCCCTCGACTTATAATTTACTAATATCAATAAAGCATCCAGGGCTAAGTACATGTATAATTTGGTTTCTCTAGCTTTCGGGTTAACATGCCTCTCAATAGGGAGCAACTAGGAGTATAATTTCTAACTAACTATACACGCCCTTATTATTATTTTAATGTGTGTATATATATAGAGTTAGCTAGAAGTTTATACTCTTAGTTGCTCCTGTTGAAGGTCATGTTATCCTGAAAGCGAGAGAAATAACATTATACAAGAAACTTAGCCCCCTCTGGATTCTTCATTGATTTTATTAATTTATTATTTGTCCGCAACAAAATACTCATTACATTATACCATCATACTTTCATTTTCTTTATGATAAAAAGTTATTTACTCGATCAGGAGATATATTTTTCTTTGAAAAAGTAAAAATAAAAAATCAGGTAAAAAGTTTTTTTTTTTTTTTTCAAGCTTTCAAGCAAATATAATGCTCTTCAACGGGCTGATATTATATGTACAATCTCTAAATAATATTTTTACAGAATAATTGAAAACTATTGGAATGTGCTCTTGCGGGCGTGCATCAGACTGTTTCCAGCTAAAGTGATATACACTATATTAAGTATATTATACTGGGATTAAATATGTATACACCCATACCTCGCTTTGCGTCGGGGTTACGTTCCAAAAAAACACGACGCAAATTGAAACGACGCAAAGTGAAAATATGTGAAGGCGCAATCAAAAACAAAGGTGTTGCCATATTTTAGGAAAAAATATATTAAAAAATTAAAGACTCGAATCCAAAACAACGCAACTTCGAAAATCTAACGACGCACAGTGAAAATCAGTAAAAATTAAGCAGCGACGCAACATCGAAAAAAACGCAAAACGAAACGACGCAAAGCGAGGTATTGGTGTACATACAAATAATTATTAATATTTAGATTGTTTTTCAGGGATATTGTTATATTGGGTTGGGAGGATTTTCTTAAAAAAAAACAAAGTGTCACATTCGTGGCTGAATCATGAAATACATTCAGGTTGGTCTTGCCTACCGACTAGCAATTCTTGCTGCGAGATTGTCAAGACTTGCGTGTTGACACGAGAATTTGATATTTAGGAACAAATAGAGGCAATATAGCAATCAATAAAGCAGAGTTTGTACTAAGAATTAAACAATCTTTGGTTCTTCTAACACGGTAGAGTAGCTACACGATGGGTGGACCTAAGTGGGCCAACACCGGGCAAATTGATTCCACATTTCCGCTCCTCGGTGGCCTGGCGTGAGACACGCTCGCCATATTAAGTAGCCGCTGCAGCAACCGTCCAGTACCTGCAGGACAACTGTCCTTTTCTCGACACCGCAGTATTCTGTGACAATACGATAGACATCCTCTGTCCAATTGGAAACGACCTAAGCAATTTTATAGCTACTCACACATTAGCGTGCATGTTATGATGCATTAGCGTGCCATCTGTTATCAAAATTCGAAACTATTATAGACGCGTATGATTCTTTTTGAAAATGAACAATTTCTACTGTCCTTACTGCAATGAAAAAAATTAATGGGAGGGCCTAGCTCATCAGTGGTGAACCCTCCCAGCGGTTTCGCCAGTTTAATCTACCATAGTTTACCATTGATGAGCAAGGTCCTCTCATTAATTTTTTCATTGCAGTAAGGACAGTAGAAATTATTTATTTTCAAAAAGAATCATACGTTTCTATAATAGTTTCGAATTTTGATATTAATGCATGTCCCATTTATGTCAAAAGATAGATATGGAATGAAGAGAATGGGTACACTTATAAGAAAGATTGTGCTGCGATCAAAACAGGAATCCTCGGCTATTATGAACATTTTCAAATGACAAGTGCCGTTAGACTGTACTAACTATGTCGCATCATTTACAAGAATCCGTGTGTATAAAACAGATATACTAAATATTTAAAAAAAAAGACATAATTTATAAGTGCAAAGTCGAACTGCTTTTCACATGTGTAGACATGTGGTGCGCTTACATTAAAAGCAGTCGCTAACTACCCACCATGATTATCATGGCCTGTACCACGTGTACTAGGGATAAGCAAAAAAAAAGCCATCAATTTCTGGTTGGAAGTTGGTCCAAGAGGGTAACAAGGAGTCACTGAAATGATGGGGAAGAAAATAAAAGCTCCTCTTATTATATTTATCGTTCATAATTATATATAAATTTATATTATATAGGAAAACACATTTTTTGAAGGTTGTATTATAAATAAGACTAACGAGAGAGAGAGATTCAAATGTTCTTTTTTTTTTCTTGAAAAGGGCGAAAGCGGAAAATGTCACATAAATGTAAACTAAGAAAGGTTAAGAAAGGAATCATTAAACAAGATAACAATGGAACATTACTAAGTTACGGTGTAATTTGGATTAAATAAGTAAATCTAACACACTACACATTGTATACTTTTTCCTATCGACATATAAATACGTTTCCCATCATGTAGACATGGAAACAAATGTAAAGACGATGAGAATAACAGAGGAGTGTAGCAGTTGTCTACAAAATACAATCGGCCACGGTAGCGGGAAAAAAAAAAAGATAGAAGAGAAACCTCTTTTATAAAATTTAAACTTTTTTTTTTCTCTTTTAGAAAGTGCATTACTTAATAGATCAATCTATCTTGGCGCCTTTCAAGTTTTTGTCCCGTCGAAAGCAATTTGCCGGATACAACACCCGTGTTACAAACGACGTCCAATAAGGTCGACACTAAACTCAATAAGCCGTCGTCAATTGTTGCAAGCCAGTATGTAAATATACTTGCAAATGTTGTTTTTCTCTGGGTTGACCATTGTTGCAACAAACCTATGCAACTTACCAATATTTCCATATTGGAAAAAGACCTATCTGTAACCTGTTAATACCAGATCTCTTTGTTATGTTTTAGAATACAACAAACATCTCTCTGACAAAGAGATCCAACCCACGGGTTTATCATTTTTCTCGAACGTTCCTTCTTCCACAGACAACAGCTTTGAACGATGTTGCGATGTTATATCTACAAAAAACTACATCTCAAATTCCTTCAATGAATTAAGAATATTAACATCGTCCATAGCTGAAGGAGAGAGAGAGAGTTCATTCCAATAGATAAACATATACTTAACCATTTGTGCACTTTGGGAGTTACATATAAACTGATAGAGTAATGTGTGTTGTAATATTGAACAGGAACAATTACACTCAAGGATAAAACTTAAGGAAGTTGTATCTTTTAGCATGCCTAACAGGATTCAGACAATAACTCTGAAAAGATATTTGATACACAGTGACCTTAATTGAAGACACAAGTATGAACAAAATTGCCCTTGTCTCCTTCAAAATAACAGACGACCGGCGACAAATACTTTCCATTTCCTTAAGTTTTGTCCATGAGTATATCTTAGTAAATGGTATGTAGAACCAAGGTAATTAGCTTACAGCAGCAGAATGACCTGGCGTTATAGAAGATAGAATGCTAGTTCTTTGTAGATCCCTGAAGTTACATATTCATCGTAGATATCGCTCGTATGGAGGTTTCCCCGTCACCCTCCCAAGTACTGACCAGGCCCAACGTTTCTTAACTTAGATGATCGGACGAGAACTGATGTTTTCGATATGATATGGCCATAGACAAAAAAAAAAATAGCAGAGCGTGGTTACGATCCAAATCCGTCAGTGATACAGAAAAGCTATCGTATCTACAGGAGGTTTTTGTTGTTTAACCCAATACAGATATGAATCAACATGGTGGGTAGTTATTTGAGACTGTTTATACTATAATTAACGGAATCAGTGTGTTCTAATAAAGCCCGACCGCATGTAAGCTTGCTTCCATTTTTTTTTTATTGAAAGAAATTCTGCAAAAATATTTTAATATTTATTCAATTATACTCAAGTATAGCACATATCTGAACACATGTGGTAGAAATTCAGCGATTAGAATTTACAAAGTGCCAGATTGGTTATTTGCATTCAAAAAATAGATTTTCTTAAAAGTCGGATGAAATTCTGAAATAAATTTTGTATTCAAAGAAAACAACGGTATCAACGTGAGTTTATAGCTCGGGCCTGGTAAAACATCACTTTTATACCCACATCAACCTCCGTAATTAAGATTAAACACTGAGAAGACGAGTTACTTCATGAAATTTTGTCTCATTTTAATAAAGAAACATATTTCAATTCTTTGTCATACTTGAAATAATTAAGATTCCAACACGCGAGTTTGTAGGATCAGATTCAGCGCCCGTACAACTAACGCGGCCACAAGCAGCAGCCGTGGAAAGGCCGATTAAGCCGGATTATGGCAGTTAATCCGAGATGATCGGAACCACGACAGCTGCGATGTTGTTGAACGCTCGTGTATTTAACACATCCAAGGTTTCCAGAGTGTATCGTAAACCCGGGTTGTTTACTGACTCGAGCTGTCTTTGTCTTCTTTTACAAGTCCGGCGGTAGTTCCATTCACGGGGAGGGAGGGTATCGTGAAGATCTTGAAAGATTTTAAGAGAACGTAAATTCTGCTATCACATCAAATCAATAACTTTAATAATAATTTTAGTCACGCACACACATATAGAGAATTTCTTGAGAGATACAAAATAAAGTGATAATATAATAAATATGGAGAAAGCATTTACAAAGTTATATATAGAAAAATATAATAAATATATTGAAATAATATTAAATACATAAATATCTATAATCTATAAGTTGTGGAAAATGGTAGAAAAGATTCCGTGCTGTTACATATATGATAAAATTTACATTAAAACATTTCTTTGTTACACCAATGTTGATCTACCAAGACTTCAATTTTCTTTTTGTTCTCAAATGCTATCATTACGAACTTAACAAAACTAAGCTACAATAAACACACCGGTTTTAGTTATCGTTTATAGATAAGATGTGAGAATTATTTTTTCTTCTATTTGATACGAAAACCTTGGAAAATAGATAGAAATTTAAATTAGATGGATTATCTACGTCTTCAAAATTAGTAAAAAAAAAAAAAAAAGACGAGTTGGTAGGCATATTTGACAAAAGCAACATCGCTGATTAAAAAAAAGTTTTTAAAAATCCTGATTTGTGTGTGTAAAAAGATATTTACAGTAAAGAACTGGTCAAGGTATAACGAATACGACAAACTTCATGTACCTGACAAGATCACTCACTCTGAAATGAAATAAACGATGAAAACACAAGCGAACAAGATACCAAAGACAGTCCTCCCTCCAAAAACAAAATGGAGAAACAAATCAAACATCACTCGATTCAAAATCTGTGCAACGTTAATTTACACGACGTTAATTAAATATTATTTAAATTTATATTTGATTTCTCCCCCCTCCTCCCTTCCAAAGTCAATTAGCTGCTATAGAAATAATTGCTGGATAAATAGAAGGCAGTAATTGCAGTTCTGAGAGGCAATTACGTCGCTCCAGCAGCCGGTGGCTTCGTTTTGAAATCCCGCTGAAACATTGATGTCGCACAAGAGTGGCCGCCAATTTGTCAAGATGTTACAACTCTCGATAAGGTTTCTACCTCTGTTATTCCTTAAATGTTATAGAGAAAACTTATTAGAAAGTCCATATACATTCAGGAAGAAGAAAATCTTCTCTCTCAACTTAAGGAAATAGAAAATCTTTGATGTCGCCGGAAATATGTTTTTTTTTTTGTTGTTGTTGTTTTTTAAGGAGACGCAATTTTGTTCACACTTGGTTATCTCGTGTCTTCAATAAAGGTCACTGCGTATCGAATATCTTACAGAGTTATTGTATGAATTCTGATATACGTGGTAAAAGTACAACAGTCCTTTTTTTGTTATTGAATGTTCAGTAAGATACGAAGGAACTGAATTGCGAGAGATGTGGGTTGCTATCTATTAAAAGCCTGATAAAAACTGACTTCTATCTGTTGCACGTATCACAGTTTACGTTACGGTAACACGGTCGCTATGCGGTACATATAGTCCTTTTCTTGGAAGTGACAGGTCTTTGGCAGTACGCAGTGGTAGTACGTTCAGAAACTTCCTCCACAGCCATGTCGGTCTAGGTAGCCCGCTTTCCAAGACCCATGTCCCCTATGGCTTCTTATATCCTCAGTCGGTCTAGGTATCTCTCTATCAAAATTATAAAGTTTACTTTAGTTCTTTATAACTGATCATATCCAGAGCCACTGAAAAACATGATGATACATGCGGGTGAAGGGATCTGTGGTTGAAATTTATCATTCAAACGACAAGCATATTTCAGCAATATGTTGTGATGGAAAAATGCCTTTCTTTGTTGGATGGCTTAAAAAAAAAGGCAGGTTCTTACCAAGATAGGAGTTTGATGGCAGGCTAATTAAACGCCATATCGATTGCTTCCACAATAAAAAGCCGCACACTCGAGGGAAGGAGGGAAAAAGTTGACTAATTAATTCGATAGTTTCATATTGAAGCAATAGAGGGCGCAGCTGTCATTAGGCTAATGGCGCGGTAATTGGAAGTCGAGCTGTTGGCCCACCTTGGGGAGTGATTAGCGGGGCTTCGGGGTGGTCATACTGGGAGGGGGCTTCACACCTTGTTTGGTCCTGGTGGCTACAGTAGAACTTCACACCTTGTTTGGTCCTTGTGGCTACAGTAGGACTTCACACCTTGGTAATGATGGTCACAGTGGGGCATCACATTTTAGTAATGGTGGTCATAGTGGGGCTTCACATCTTGGTAATGGTGGCTACAGTGAGACCTCACACCTTGCTTGATCCTGGTGGCTACAGTAGGGCTTCACATATTGGTAATGATGGTAACAGTAGGCCTTCACATCTTGGTAATGATGGTCACAGTGGGGCTTCACATCTTGGTAATTGTGGTCACAGTGGGGCTTCACATCTTGGTAATGGTGGCTACAGTGAGACCTCACACCTTGCTTGATCCTGGTGGCTACAGTAGGGCTTCACATATTGGTAATGATGGTAACAGTAGGGCTTCACATCTTGGTAATGATGGTCACAGTGGGGCTTCACATCTTTGGTGGATACAAAATAGGCTTCATACCTTTGCAGTTAAGGTTTGTATTGTAGATATGTTTTGAACTTTGCCACAAGAAATTATGTTTAAAACATATCTAACAGGGTGTGCAATACCCTTAGTTAATAGGTAGATATTACAGTTGATGCAAACATGAGAGCGACGATTGTAGAATTGACAATGGAGCTGACCCCGGATAGTGGAATGTTGGTGGTGGAACAACTCAACGTCAGTCAGTCGGTCCAAAATCCGGAAATTGGAAAGACAAAAGTTTTGTTCATTTCGGAACTTCACTACGCACATAATTATTGACGATACGTGCGCCCGAGCGTTCCTAAATTTAATTAAATTCCAAATAGAAATTTTGTGTTTGCGCAGGCTGGTAAATAGAGTGTGTTACTACCGTAAAGTCTCTGGTCTTTATTTTGTGGAAAAAGAATAACCTCTCTTGTGTTATATCTTTGGTGTTTCCTTTATGTGGAGAGATTTGAAGATAATTGAAATCTGTTGTGATGCTTCTACTGAACTCGAAGAATAATTAAATTGCATTGCTGTTATATATATGATATATTTGCTCAAATGTGTGGGTGGTTGGTAAGAATGGAGTTTGCTCAAGCTATGGCTGAGAACAGAATTGATACAAATCGAATCGCTAAGACATCTACACACATCAATAACACAAATCACCTATACTTGTTTGCTTTAAATCAATCAATAAATCAATCAATACCTTTAACAAGACCATTAATCTCTTCCTATGATTCGAATATTACAATTTTATGGGAAATTCTACATATAGAACTATATAATTATTTTGATAGAATATATTCACATACTTAGGTAGAGTTCACCCAATGACAGGTACAAGATGATGGCTTTTACAAAAATAAGACATTTTAAAGAATCTGCGTACAGAGCAGCGAAGGCAAATTCTGTCATCAACCTATAACACACGTAGAGAGAACATCCTATAGATATCGCAAATACAGCTAACATCGTATAAAGAGATTTTTTTTTTTTGCTTTTCCCTTGTACACGTGGTACAGGCCATGATATTCATGGTGGGTAGAATTAGGCGACTGCTTTTACTGTAAGTGCACCACATGTCTACACATGTGAAAATCAGTTCAACTTTGTAATTACAAATATGCCAGAGCCCCGTTTTGTTACTTGCACTCGCTGGTGGGGTTGGACTTTTGCAAGAATCGGGGAACATTGGAGCATTTTTTTTTTTTAATCAGAAAAAAAGTGTCCAATGCGGGAATTGAACCGAGGTCGTAGCGGTCGAAAACCAACGGTTTAGATCATCCTTCCACCGATCCTCCAGAGAGAAGAACTTGACATACTGAGTGAGAATCTAAAAGTGAGAAACTCTACGAACTTGCGAAACCGCTGGGAGGGTTCACAACTGATGAGACAGGCCTTCCCATTATTTTATCATTTCAGTAAGGGGAGTATAGAACATTGTTTTATTTTTTATTTATTTAAAAAAAAACGTGTACGTTAAAAATAAGATAATCCAATAGAAGAGAAAATTGCTGTAAAGTATAAAACAAGAATATAAACGGTAGCAATGTGTTACTTTATTAATGAAAAGTGCAAGTTTTCGGATCTTT